CACTTGGTAGAGTGCGGCGCTTGGGAGTGTGGCGGCGCTCCCGCCGAGGGTTTGGATCCCATATAGAGGTCGGTCCGCTCACTGGTTGAGCACGATGCGGGCGCGACACCGAGGGTTGCGATCCCGTTACCGGTCACGAAAAAAAAGACAAAAAGGGAAGAAAAAAATAAAATAAAATAAAATAAAATACCTAGGAATAAATTTAACCAAGAATGTGAAAAATCTCTACAATGAGAACTACAAACCACAGTTGAGAGAAATTAAAGAGGACACAAGAAGATGGAAAGATATCCCATGCTCTTGGAGTAGAAGAATTAACATTGTGAAAATGTCTGTACTACCCAAAATGATCTACAGGTTCAATGCAATCCTCCTCAAAATTCCAATGACATTTTTCTCAAAACTAGAAAAAACAATCCTAACATTCATATGGAATAATAAAAGACCAAGAATAGCCAAAGCAATTCTGAGTGAAAAAATAAAGCTGGAGACATAACACTGCCTGATTTTAAACTATACTATACAAAGTATAGTTACAAAGCTATAGTAACCAAAACAGCATGGTACTGGCATAAAAACAGACATACAGACCAATGGAACAGAATATAGAATCCAGAAATCAACCTATGCACCTACGGCCATCTGATGATCTTTGACAAAGGCATCAAGAGTACACACTGGGGAGGATACTGCCTCTTCAGTTAATGGTGCTGGGAAAATTGGACATTCTTATGTAGGAGAATGAAACTAGACTCGTACCTCTCACCATATACCAAAATAAACTCCAAACGAATTAAAGAATTAAATATATGACCTGAAACAATAAAACTCCTAAACATAGGGGAAACACTTCAGGAAGTAGGATTGGTATAGACTTTATGAACATGATCTCAAAAGCACAGGCAACCAAAGGAAAAATAAACAAATGGAATTATATCAAAATAAAAAGCTACTGCACAGCAGAAGAAATTAAGAGTGAAAAGACAAGCAACAGAGTGGGAGAAAATATTTGCAAAATACACATCTGACAAAGGATTAACAACCAGAATATACAAGGAACTCAAACAACTTAACAGAAAAAACCAAGTAACCCAATTAAAAAATGGGCAAAAGCAGACATATGAAAAAATGCTCAACATCACTCAGCATTCAGGAAATGCAAATCAAAACCACACTGAGATACCATCTCACTCCTGTTAGGATAGCTAATAACCAAAAGACTGAGAACGACATATGTTGCTGAGCATGCAGAGAAAAAGGTATCCTCCTACACTGTTGGTGGGACTGCAAAATGGTGCAGCCTCTACGGAAAATGGTATGGAGGTTCCTCAAACAATTACAGATAGATCTACCATAAGACCCAGCTATCCCACTGCTGGGAATACAACCAGAGGAATGGAAATGATCAAGTTGAAGGAATACCTGTACTCCAGTGTTTATTGCAGCACTATTTACAATAGCCAAGAGTTGAAGCCAGCCTAAATGCCCATCATCAGATGAGTGGATAAGGAAAATGTGGTACACCTACACAATGGAATACTATTCTGCTATTTAAAAAAATAAAATACTACCATTCGCAGCAACATGGATGGACTTAGAGAAAATTATATTAAGTGAAATAAGCTAGGCACAGAAAGAGAAATACTGCATGTTCTCACTTATTTGTGGAAGTTAATAAAAATAAATAAGTAAATATAGAAATGAACAGGAGAGAAAAAAAGAAGACATAACAATTCTTTGAACTTGTTAAAACAAGTGAACAGATATGATGTTGATGGGGGGAAGAGGGGAGAGGGAGGGAGGAAAAGGAAAAATTGGTAAAGCGACATGAAAATAAACTAGACTGTATACTGATAAATTAAAATCTAAAAAAAAATAATAAAAAAGTTCAAGTAATCACCATAGGAAGACAAGAAATGGGAAATAGGAAACAAACAGAACAAATAATAAAATGACAGACTTAAGCCCTAACATCAATACTTACTTTTAATGTAACTGTTTTTAAATAATGACTGAACGTATGTCAACAACTTTCCTAGATTACAGGCACACCTAAATTCACATGAATATCAATGTTAAAATTCTTTGTAGCAGCTTTATCTATTGTGATAGTCTTTCAAATGAACTGTAAACTAGCTAATTAAAAAATATAATCAAAATATGAATGTTCACTAAAACTCATTTACCTAGCCCAGAAAAGTTTAATTGCCGCCGCGCTCCCAAGCGGCGCACTCTCCAGTGTGCCACTGGGCTGGCCCTTAACTGGCCTAATTTCAATACTGCTGTGTCTCAGGGAATAGGGAGGCTTGAGGAGATGGAGAGAGATGGGGGAATGGTGGGTCAAAGGAGCAGTTAGAACACATACAACACTTATTAATTTATACAGGCACGGTTTGTGACTCCCCCAAACAATTATAACAGTAATAACAAAGATCACTGATCACAGATCACCATAACAGACATAACAATAACGAAAAACTTTAAAATACTGTGAGAATTTCTAAAATGTAACAGAGACACAAAGTGAACACACAGTTAGAAAAATGATGCCAAAAGATTTGCCTGACATAGGGTTACCACAAACCTTCAATTTGTAAAAAACATAGTTATCTGTGAAGCTTGATAAAGTGACGTATGCCTTTACCTCTTACAGAACACTCATCATCATTCTGAAGTGGAAGCACAGGAAGAGGCAGAGAGTACAGAGATACAATTTTTGAGATCAGTGGTTACAAAATAAACTGTAAGAATTACTTCTGTGATTGCATTACTTTGAAAATTCGAAAACTAACGCTGGTTTGTTCTGGAGTCTTCCTATATACCAATAGATCCTGTTCCTAGTCATTGAATGAAGGATGAAGTTCTGTGGCTGTCCTATGCACAAGGGTACTGCTGCTCTCTTGAGCCTTGATGCATATACTTCTCCTGTACTGGCTGCTAATGAATCTGGCAGGAGACTAAAATCTGCTAGCCACTTGAGTTCTCTAGGCTTTTGAGCCACTGCCCAATATGAGAAAAGATTTTAGCATATGGCTCAGGGGAAAAATGAACTTAATGTTTGGAAAAAAATATTAATGCTTCCTACCTATAAATGGATTATACCCCAGAACCATATGCTAAATGAATTGCATTTCTTTTTAAAAATTTTTAAAAATTTTTTATTGAAACACAATTGATGGTACATATCTGTGGGGTACACTGTTGAACATCAATACTTGTGTGCAACATGTGATGTTCAAATCGGGATAGTTAGTACATTCAACATTATAAAATGTAATCACTTTTTGTGATTACCAATTTCTCACTAAACCCCCTCTCCCGCCCCCTTTCCCACCTCTGGTGGCCTTAGTTCTGTTTTCTCCTTCTGAATGTTCAATGAGTTATTATGATTGTTGTATCTTTCTTTCTTTTTTTATTTATTTTTTTCTTTAGCTCCCACTTATGAGTGAGGACATGCAGTATTTCTCTTTATGTGCCTGGCTTATTAGATGAATTGCATTTTGCTACCAAAAATTTATTTCCCAGGTTGTCTTAAAAATCTATTTAACCTAAATAGTGTTATAATTTTCATAGAAAACATAAATATTGTTGGGTTTTTTTTGTCTTTTTTCGTGTCCGGCAATGGATCGCAACCCTCAGTGTCACGCCCGTACCGGACCAGGACCGGCAACGGGATCGCAACCCTCGGTGTCGCGTCCGCACCTCGCTCAGCCAGTGAGCGGGAACCGGTCTGTATGTGGGATCCGAACCCTCGGCGGGAGCACCGCTGCACTCCCAAGTGGCGCACTGTAGCAGTGCGCCACTGGGCCGGCCCCATTAAACATAAATATTGTTAATTGTCAGTAGTTAAATGAAAAAAATCATAGAACTTGAAGAACTCAAATTAACCTCAGTGCTGGTGCTTGAAGGGATTAGTATTACTTAGAGCTGCAATTCTCTAACTGCACTATGGCACCCAGGGCACTGTAGCAAACTCACAGGGGCACACAGACTATTTCAAACTTTCAAGTGACATCTGTCAGACACTGTACAAACTACTACTATTAACTTGTTTGGACCTAACTACTTAACAAATCAGACTGCTAATGTACTTCTTTTGGCCTAGGGGCACTGTAAACCAAAAACGTTAGGGAACTTCAGCATTAAAGAATAAGGAGAAATGAGATAAAAATAGCTGTAGAAGCTCTCTGTGGGAGATTTCTGGGCATTCTGAAGGACTTCAGCAGTTGATACCATTTTCTCTTTATCAAATCTCATTTCATTAAAAAAGTATGTTCATTTAAATACTTATAATTTATATACTTTTTTCTATGTATGTCATACTTTTTTTTTTTTTTAAAAGGTCATGGCTTTCCTTTTTCTCAGTACAGGTATATTATGGTACTACTCTTAGAATTATCAGAGGTTTAAAAAACACAAGGCCTTTGGAGGCTCATAATCTGAATAGAGAAACTGAATGAAGGAGAAGCACTGAGGTATTTTAATAAGCTAACATGACAAGAAGTGAGCGAAAGAGAAAAAAGAATTAAGGTAAGGTGTATATATACAATAGAATGCATTAAATAGAATTAAGTACTGGTGAAACAGAAGATAGTCATTTTATACTTAATGTGCCAGACATTGAGATGAAATGGGGAACTGAGAAAGATGTGGTGAGACTGGCCAGAGGCAATTTGACTATCGTAGAACAGAGCCAAGAGATGGGACAAGGGTTTATGATATGCAACTATCTTGGTGTCTGGGCATATAAGCAGTTATAAGTGCTTTTCCTTCACCCTTTAACAGTCCTCACCAAAATACATATATTTTAGCTTTTTTTTTTTTTTTAAAGATGACCCATAAGGGGATCTTAACCCTTGACTTGGTGTTGTCAGCACCACGCTGTTCAAAGTGAGCTAACCAGCCATCCCTATATAGGGATCTGAACTCGTGGCCTTGGTGTTATCAGTGAGCCACAGGCCGGCCCTTATTTTAGCTTTAATTATAATGATTTTTCTCACCTGGATTTCATTTCTAGAACTGCAGTTATTTCTTGTTTGGAAGCTTGTGCTTGGTATAAAAGCTTAACAATATAGTTAAATTGTTCTGAGTCAGGCACCATCCCAGCTTCAACAAGCTGTAGAAGAGAAAAAAAAAGTAGTTATTCTTATAAAAATGTGAAAGAGCTGAGAAACCTGAATGAAAACGTGTTGAGAAGTACTTTTCCTGTGCTTCACACAGGGCCTTGGCCAGAGAATAATTGCTGATTACTTGTTAAATTAATAACCCAGGTGACTGACTGCTCACATGTAATACAGTATTTGATTAAAAAAAAAAAAATTCAAAGATTTTCTCTTCCATTCCCATGACTCATTTTCTGTCTTTTTCATGCAACTCAGCTCTAATGGAGACAGCTAACAGGGGAGTATCTGGATGCTTCTGGTGTAAGAATAGACGAATGAGATGTAGGCCTTCTGCGACAGTTCTTCCAAGGCATGACATTACCCTGGGAGGATGGGAAGGTACAAGACTGTGGGCTGGCAGTCTTACTAGCTCAAATAATCCTGTCGATCTCTGCTCTAAGATGTTATAATTTGTTGGGCATAACTTTGCGCGCATGCACCCTGACGTGCACGGGCGCCAGTTCATGCGATCCGCGGCCACCATTTCACTAGCGCTCAACGGCACGTAGCTGCCAGCCTCGCCCTTCCGGGTCCCAGTGATTCAGCAACTTTAGTTCCGTATTCGCGTAAAGCCTCCCCACCACCTCACCCTATCCTTTTAAGCCCTTCTTATTGGCTCTTTGCTTGATCTCTCATATCAAAACCCGCCCTGCCCTTTTTCCCTATATAAGCTGTGCCGCCCTGCAAATAAACGGAGTTCCGGCTTTGACCACTCTCCTGGCTCGGTGGTGTTCTTTCTCGGCCCCCGGGGAGGAAGGTCCTGGGGGGGAAGGGCCGTGCCAGCGACACTCATCATCCCGCTCAGCCCCACAAGGGACCCCCGGCTGGACTGGGGTCTCTTCCCGCTCGGTTTTGTCGGCCTCTGGCTCAGGGAGGCCCGACAATAATTAGGTCCTCCAATACCACCCTGGGCATGAGGTAACACTGGTGAGATGAGAAAGTTAAGGGCCGGCCCGGTGGCGCACTGGAGAATGCGCCGCTTGGGAGGGTGGCGGCACTCCCGCCTAGGGTTTGGATCCCATGTGGAGCCCGGTTCCCGCTCACTGGCTGAGCGCGGTGCAGGCGCAACACCAAGGGTTGCGATCCCGTTACCGGTCAGTAAAAAAGACAAAAAGGAAAAAAAAAAAAGAAAGTTAAGACTAACTCAGTTGAGGGGTGTCTGAAATTCTGTGAGCAACATTTTCATTGAGAATCTTCTATTGTTCAATCTAGTTTTCAGAAAACTTCCCCTTTTTAGAAATAATTTAAATATCAAAATGTTTTTCAATGTTTAGAAGAATGTATGCTTTACCTCCCCAGTCTAGACTGAAAGGAGTACCAGGAAATAAGAATTTGGGGTACGATAATGAAACAATAGCAGGGAGAGTGGAGGAGAAGCTACCTTTTCCAAGGTGTAAGTCTCTATGTGAGATGCCATAATTTGGTTGTTAGAATTTATAACTGATGTGTATTTTGAGACAGAATTTCTTTCAGTGAAGGATAATAGTAACAAGTTGCTGAGAGATTTTCACTATCTTTGAAATCTCAGGAAAATTGCCTCAAATTTGGTGGCACAAAGCCCCTTTAAACGGTCCCTAGAAAGTCCACCCTAAGCTATATGATTAAACAAACTGGAAATAGTTTTGCTGAAAAACTGTACAAATAACTATTTAAAGCCTGTTCTAAACATTAGGCTCTAATCCTTAAACTCTGTATCAGCTGCTTGGGATTCAAGCAGGGTCAATTTTATTTTAAAAAGGGAAATAGCGAAAAAAGACCCAGGGAGGAGTTCTGGTTAAGATGGCGGAATAGACGGACCATAGCATCACTCTCTCCCACAAATCAACCAAATTTACAACTATAAAAATGTAACATCAGCCAAAGCTGGGGCCGCTGTAGCTCAGGGAAAGAGGAGGAGAGACCTACGGAGTTCATGAAGGCAGGAGAAACTACAATGAGAGAAAGAAAAAGCTGCTCTGAGCATTTCAGGCTGCAGCTGCTTTAAGGCTCGAGCTGATGAGCGCATGGAGCAGGAGCCGGTAGAAGCTGCAGCTGTGCCCTTCAGATGGAGTTACTTGGAGACAGCAGGAGAGAAGAGGGCCTTGGTGGCTCCCAGGACAGCAAGACCACTAATAGGTTTCCCATGGACCCACAAAGAAGCGAGGAGCCAGAACAACTGAAAAAAGGGAGCCATTCAGAGGCCGGTGAGTCTTCACAATGGAACAGTGCAGGGCCCATCCCATGGGAAGTGTTCGGAGCATGGGCGGTGGGCAAGATGGGAACACCGGGAGAACAATGGGACACAGCAAGGACAGCCGACCTGCCCCCAATCAGCACAGGACGATTCAGAGGAGACTGTTCTGGAATGCAGAATTTCATGGGGTGCAGTTTGATGAAAAAACTCAGGCCTAGATCAGAGTTTCTACAGAACACAGATCCACCGGGTCTCTGGAGAGCTGGAAGTACCTATAAGATCAACCATTAAACCCTAAGCTGCACAAAAAGTCTTCCCTAGGGAAATGGCAGCAAAGTAGCAATTTAAACCACACAGCTCAAGTACTGGTTCCCAGAGGAAGTTCCCCCGTGTTAGAAGCAAAGGACAAAAAATTAGTTCCAGCCCAGGCACACCACCAGCACCTTGGGGCCTGCCTGGGAACTGGAGGCTTGGATCCGGGGACCGGACCCCATTCCCACTTCCAGGCAAACTGCACCAGTCCCTCAGGGCCTGCCCAAGGACCCAAGGCATGGAGAAGGGGACTGGACACCCCTCCCACAACTGGGCACACCAAGCCAGTGCTTCAGGTCCCACCCGGGGACCTGGGGTATGGAGTTGGGGACCAGACCACCTTCCCACAACCAGGCACACCATGCCAGCACCTCGGGGCCCGCCCAGGGAACCGGGGCATAGAGAAGGGGACCGGACCCCTCTCCCACAACCAGGCACACCACGCCAGTGCCTCAGGCCCTGCCTAGGGATCCGAGGCAAGGAGAAGGGAACCGGACCTCTCTCTCACAACCAGGCACACCACACCAGCACCTTGGGGCCTGCCTGGGGACTCGAGGCATGGAGATGGGGACTGGACCTCTCTCCTACAGCCAGGCACACCAAGCCAGTGCCTCAGGTCCCGCCTGGGGACCTGACTTATGGAACTGGGGACTAGACCCTCCTCCCACACCAGGCACAAAATGCCAGCACCTCGGGGCCCACCTGGGTACCTGAGGCATGGAGAGGGGGACCGGACCCTCATCCAACAACCAGGCACATGGCTCCAGTGCCTTGGGGCCTGCCCAGAGACCTGGGGCATGGACAAGGGGACTGGACTTCTCTCCCACATCAGGCACACCAAGCCAGCTCCTTGGGTCTTGTCTGGTGACCTGAGGCATGGAGAAGGGGACTGGCCACCCCTCCCACAACCAGGCACATGGTGCCAGTGCCTTGGGGCCTGCCCAGGGGCCAGAGGCATGGAGAAGGGACCAAACACACACCCCACAACCAGTCATACTGCCAGTGCCAAGAAGCATACCAAAAACATCACCTCCATGTGGGTGGCCCACCACAGCCACCACAATAACCATGGCTGCTGCAAAAGCAGCTAGACGCCACAACCACCATGCAGATGGTCCGCCAACCACTGGAGTGCATTCACACAAGAAGAGTCACCAGCAGAGACAAAGAAAAGAAGAGGATGTCCCTTTCCACAAAGCCCATTTCAGAGTGACAGAAGAAGCATCTGCTCTATGATAATATTGGGGGACCTGATCACATCTCTCAGCACTGGACAGATCATCTAGGCAACAAGTTAACAGAGTAACCATTATTCTTTCAGAAGAAGAGAAGAAATGTAGGGCTATTAGAGGGGGAGGGAGAGTGAGAGGGGGATGGGGAGAGATTGGATAAGGGGTATAAAGAATAATTATGATTTGTAACAATATATATGCTAGTAATATTGATTTAATCAATATATCTCAATGTTCAACCCCCAAAATATGTATAATCGATTTTGATTCAATAAATAAAAATTAAAAAATTAAAAAAATAAATAAAAATAAAAAGGGAAATAGCTCCTCTTGCAAACCTAACTGATCCACCACCTCAAATAGTTTTCCAAACTTTGTAAAGGAGTAAACACCTTTATTATTTACTGTTAGTCTCTGTAACATTTGAAAGGACTTCTATTGGTCTATTTGCATTCACTGACCATGCAGTGACTTTTGACTAAATGAACAGGGATAAGGGCTGGCCCGGGGCTCACTCAGGAGAGTGCGGTGCTGATAACACCAAGGCCATGGGTTTGGATCCTATATAGGGATGGCCAGTTGGCTCACTGGGTGAGCGTGGTGCTGACACCACCAAGCCGAGGGTTAAGATCCCCTTACCGGTCATCTTTTAAAATAAATAAATAAATAAATAAATAAATGGACAGGGATAACTGTAAGCAAAACCACAAAAGAACAAATTCATTACCTGGTTACCGACACACTTAAAAAAATCTGTCCCTTAACAATGCTCAGAAACCAGGTTAAATATAAATTGTTACTTGACAAACTAGGTGACCACCTAAAGCAGTACAAAATAAGCTGTTAATTGCTCCTTTCTCAATGATGTTTGTTAGATAGGGGTATGGTACACTGCTAGAGTAAGAATGAGGAAAAGCATCTTCTTCCATGATAATAATATGGTTTATCATCGCTGAACCCTGAAATAATATGTACAGGGAAATTGGTACTGGTAGTAAACAAATGCTGGAAATGATGGCTCCATATTAACCATGCAAAAATGAAAATGATTGTGTTTATTAGATACTCCTTATTAAAGGTAATTTTATTTGGACAGTAACTGGGGTACATCTTACAGAAAGCCAATTTATTCAGTATCAGGCTATTTATAGAATTCTTACTGAGGGTTTCTACAACTACTATAGGTGATTGGTAACTTTTGATTTGAAAATTTCCAGGCAAGTAATTCTGTCAAGTTTCATAATGTGGAACTAGATGTAGTCACTCTAATATTTTGTTCATCTGCTAGAGTGGTTCCAGTGTTGCTTCCAAAAGAAAATTGGGGGTTTTCCTACTATTGGGCCTATTCTGAAGTCAATGGCTGGGTAGTACCAAATACTAGAAAGTATTCAACAAAAGATAAAATTTCAATATATTTTTATGAAAGCCATAAAAATTCTTATTTCTCTTTTTGTTTAGGGCCAGATTTTAAACTAATTCCTAGCTACCATGTTTCTATTTTCTTTGTTTTGGTCACAATTTTCTCTCTCTCTGTCTCTCTCTCTGTGTCTCTCTCTCTCTCTCTCTCTCTCTCTCTGTCTCTCTCTCTCTCTCTATATATATATATATCTCTCTCTCTCTCTCTATATATATATATATATTTAGATTTGTTTTTGTTGTAAACAACCTCAAACCTTTTGGAGAAAGTACTTTCTTTTATCATCTTAGGGAGCAGAGATGAAGACAGTTCACACATCAGAAAGCAGTCACCTGGAGTGCTTGGAACTACTTATTTAAGGGAAAGTCTTATCAGCTACTGGAATCTGTTTAAAAACCTTATTTCAGGAAAAAAAGAACCTATTTGAAAATAGAATTCTTTGGTACCTGGAATGTGAATAAAAGGTAGCTTCAGGGTGTAAGTGAAAATAATTATTTTCTTGGTTATTCACTATTAGAGAACAGGAGATAAAATTTTACCTTGCAAAAGGTATCGATTAAAGCAGGTACAGCATTCCTTAATTTCATAGTTGCCACATGTTCAAATATTTTTAGTAATATTTTCAGAGCAGGCTGGATAAAACAAAAAAATTACACTTATTTTCATGTCTTCTTTCAGTACACCTTAAATTTCTCAAATTTGTTATGCCGAAAAACACAAGTGTTCTCTAGAAAGTATGCAGCAAATACAGAAATTTAACTGCCAAATTCAAACAAATATAATAGAAGTTAACTTAAAATATTAAAAAATATATTTTTTCAGGTTACTTACCAGCATTTTAACAATTATGCTGAGGTTAACTACCTGAAATACTTCTTTTAATAAACAATGTTGGAGTAAAGAATTTAGAAGGTTATTTAGCACTTGTAAATCAAAGTGTATGCCCGGAGGAAACTTTCTGTAGTACTCCATAAATATGTTTACTGAAAATGAAAAAAATACATATTAAAGTCATTTGCTGCTTTTAAGGTATCCATCTTTCCTAAATTAGACAATTTTTCTATATTTTAAGATAAAGTAGTATAAATTCATTTTTTTTAAAGGTACAGCTCTAGTATCAGAAATATTTGAGAAAAATTAAAGCAAAAGTCAAAATGGCAATAATATTTGAAGTCAATCAAGCATGCTCAGCACTAGATTGGGAGGTAACTTATGTGCCATCCACAAAAAATAGGTCCAAATTGTCAAATACATTATGGTATCAATATAAACTCCTAAGGAGTCAGGCTCTTCAGGGAGTCTTGAGGCAGTGGCCTCGGTATGTATGAGAAATTGTATAATTTGGTGATAAATGTAGACTACTTTGACATATACCCCTTCTTGTTTTTACCCCACCAACATGTTGACCCTAGGGATGTTTCTGATTCCAGTTTATGATTACAGACATTCTACCAAAAATTACAACGATACTGATTGATTTCCTTTGAGAAAGTAGTTTCTTTTTATGTCAGTCCAATCCCTTAATTTATTTTCTATATACTTAAACCACTCCCAATTCTTGCCATTAATTTTACTGAAATTATTTTAATAGGGATCACTTCACTGTCATTTTTACCCCCATTCCAAAATTTCCCAGGTCAAAATCTGTACACCTTAGCTAAAACTGCCTTAGTAAAAATTACTTTTAATTTTATTTTTGCATTAATTATTTCTACCAGAAACACTTATTACTAACTGGTGTTACTGCTTATTACTACCTGGTATTGCTTGAGAAAATCAGTAACTACTGACAAAGTTTAGCAGAACAATTGAAAAATCAATGCTGAAGTTATAAGAATTTTTAACAACTTTAATAATATGGGTAATAATACTGAACTTTGTTGTAAAGCTTCTTTATATACTACAGTTGTTTACCCTGAGCACGTACAAATAAATCCTTGCTGCTATTCTTTTTGTAGTATCTACATAGTTGCCTATCCTGAAGCAGACCAACTGATAACATGGGAAATTCAGTGTGTCTGCTACAATAACTTATTAATAAAACTGGAACTGCAGATGTTTAAAAAAGGAATCGTTGTTGTTGTTGTTAAAGAATCTTTGTTAGCTACTGTGTAAATAGTCCACTAATTCACATGCAACCCTCCTCCTTTTTGTCACTGTTTTTAACATTTTAATATAATTTCTCCCGTTAAAATGATCCTTTCTGGTTAAACTGTTGTGTGGCAAGGTTTATATATTTTCATAGCTTTTGACATGAACTGCTACATTGCCTTTTTAAAAGGTTTTGTCAATTCATAATGCTACTTCATCAATGACTTATCAGAATCAGGTCCTTTTTACTCCTTTCTTTGATTAGAAGTGCACAATTTTAGTGAACCAGTAACTACTGGATTTTCCTCTCCAGATCTGTTTCTAATTCTCATAAGAGGAAACAAATGTTCATGCCTTTGTGAACAGCTGATTGAACTCTTATTATTCTTAGAAGTTGGAATATTTTTGTATACTACCAATGGGAAATCTGAAATATTTGAAGCTAACATCTTTTCTCAGTTTAAATTTATATGATCAGATTTATATGTTTTGTAGTTCCTTTGATTACTTTAAACCACAGAAATTATCACTTTCTAAAAATCTGATTAAAGGCACCAAGCCTATACACTGGGGAAGAGACTGCCTCTTTAGCAAATGGTGCTGGGAGAACTGGATATCAATATGCAGGAGAATGAAACTAGACCCATACCTTTCACCATACACTAAAGTCAACTCAAAATGGATTAAAGAATTAAATATACACCCTGAATATACAAGAAACTGAAACAACTTTACAAGAAAAAAACAAGCAACCCAATTAAAAAATGGGCAAAAGAGCTAAGTAGGAATTTCTCTAAGGAAGATATACAAATGGCCAACAGACATATGAAAAAATGCTCAACATCACTCAGCATAATGGGCCACAATAATCAACCACATTGTATATTGACAAAATAAAATTTAAAAAATAAATAAATAAAATAAAAATCTGATTAAAAAACCTTTTTCTACTGAATTGCTAATATAATATATTGATTCATTTTGGTATATGCTAAACAGTAGTAATTTTTCAAATGTTTTTAGCCATAAAACTTCTGGAAAGAGAATTTTATGTGGAAATTTAAATATAAAACAGATAAGACAGAACCTATGGTTCTACTCCTAGGTATATAAACAGAAGAACTGAAAGCAGGGACTCAGACACTTGTACATCAAAGTTCATGGCCCATTACTCACAATAGCCAAAAGATGGAAATAACCCGTGTCCATTGACAGACAAATGAATAAACAAAATGTGTTACAAACATACAATAGAATTTAGCCTTAAAAAGGAAATTCTGACACGTTACAATATGAATGAACCTTGAAGACATTATGGTAACTGAAATAAGCCAGACACAAAAAGACAAATATTTTATGATTCCGCTTTTACAGGCAAATTCAGAGACAGGAAGCAGATTAGAAGTTATCAGGAGGTAAAGGGTAGGGGTAATGAGAGTTATTGTTTCATGGGTACAGAGTTTCTGTTTGGGATGACAGTTCTGGAAATGAATGGTGGTGATAGTTATACATTGGACAGTGGTGATAGTACACTGTGAATGTACTTAATGCCAGTGAGCTGTACACTTAAAATGGTAAATTTGGTTATGTATATTTTATCTCACACACATAAAAAGTCAAAGAAAGACTATGGAAATGTTCCGGATTAAAGGAGTCTAACGAAACATGAAACTGGATACATACCTGTTCCTGGATTAAATTCTAGACTAGAGGGAAAAATGCTATAAAGAACATTATTGGGGGCGGGCCCGTAGCTCACTTGGGAGAGCATGGTGCTGACAACACCAAGTCAAGGGTTAAGATCCCCTTACCGGTCATCTTTTTTATTAAAAAAAAAAAAAAAGAACACTATTGGGTCAATTGACAATATTTGAATACAAACTATGGATTAGACAAAACTATCATACCCATGTTAAATTTACTGACGTGGATAAATGTTCCATGATTATATAAAAGGATATCCTATTTTAGGGTACTAGGCATTGAAATATTTAGGGATAAAGAGCCATGATGTACCCAACTTACCTTCAAGTGGTTCGGAGAAAAACTGTGTGTAGGGGGGTGGGGAGAGAAAGACAGAGCAAATGCAAATGATAAAGTTAGGATATATGAGTATCCTTTGTATAATTTTTACTTTTGCCACGTTTTGTAAATTTGAAATTATTTCTAAATAAAAACTTCTAGAAAGAGAATTTTATGTGGAAATTCAAATACAAAATAAATGATGACCTATGGTCAAACACGGGGATGGGGAGTCCTACCCATTCAGCTACCTTCCCTTGTGTACCAGAGTGGTTCCTGAGGCCTCTCTGCAGAGCCTGAGCAGTTAGATCCACATCTTATATTGGTGGTATTCAGAGTTTCTCTGTGTAAGTTGCTATCCAGTTATTTTAACATCATTTATTAAATGATTCCTCCTTTCTCAAGTCCTATGGTCTTTCTAAACACTAGACCCCTTTACACATAATATCAGGTCTATCCTGAGCTATTTATTCTGTTCCATTGATTTAAGTTTCTATTGTTACATCAAACAATTTGCACAGGTCCACAACAACTTCCTGTTATAGGGTTTTTTTTGTTTGTTTTATTTTGTTTGTATTCATTGTTTTAAAACTAAATTTAGATATATATATATATATATTAGATCTTTACACAGTCATAACTAAATTTGGGGGAATTTTGCATCTTTTTCATGTCATCGCTTTCCTTCCACATCTCATTTTATGGAATTATTTATGGAATTTAAAAGTTCATGCACATCTCACCATATGTAGCTCCTCCTCCTTGGTTATCACAATCCCTCAGGTTACAGTACATTCCCACATAGGCTTCTATTACGTCTACCTTAACAACTACTTCCTTGATATAGTAAGATTAAGTCCAGACTAGCAGTTCCCTCAGATGCTTCCTTTAACCCTTGTAGAGATGATATCACCAGCAAAACAAAGCAACAAATTCATCAGAGGCATTTTTAGCTGAATGAGATTTCAAGCAAATGAATAAAATGCTCTATTACCACCATACTATGTAGCTTTGGTGGCTGTGTCAGGGTGACAAATATAAATAAAGCTTGGTTCCTGTCCTCTTGGGGCTCATAATCTAGTAGGGGGAGACAGAGGTAAAGAATGGGATGGGACTGTGGAATCAGATAAGGGTCAAGTACAGGAGGTAATCCTATTTCCTATGACTAAGACTTGAAAGCTGAATAGGTCTTTTCCATGGGGAAAAGGCTTGGAAGAGAGGCATCCTGGGCAGAGAGAACAATGCAGTAGTAGCACTGAAGTTATAACAAAGCCTGGCATGTTTAGGGAACTGCACAGAAATCACTACGGATGGTACACTGGCTACAAGGGGTAAGTGTAAAAAGAGAAGAATGAAGAAGTAAAGATTCAGCTTCTGAAAGATCCGTTCAGAAGGAGAAAAGGATACTGTTAATTAACCTTTCAATCTATCTTATACCTGTAAATAAAATTTCTGAGTCATGAAAATATTAGCACATAAGGGAATTACAGTGTTAAGTGAATTATAATTTTTTATTAATCAAAATACTATATTTATTTTTTAATCCTTTCTAAGGCTAACAAAGCCACTTTTAGGTTAGGCATTCAGTTTTCATACTTAACAAGTACTGAATTTACTTTCAGATGGTAAGGCACAACAGCATGTTGTTTGAAACATTGGCATCAACAAATTTATATAATCATTCAATTGTTTCATACCTGCGCGTTGTAGCAAACACAGCTCATTGATAACTATATATTTCTTAAAAACATCCATGCAAACCTGCAAAAGTCATGAAAAACATTAAATTACCTTTTTATATTTCATAAGAACTACACAAATTTCAATCCTAACTTTTCGCTTACTTCAAATTTTTAAATTGAGCTTAAAGCATTGTAATAAAGAATTTGATGTCTGGTTAACTCACAGATTTGAAATGCATACTGAATTCATTACAAAAACCTTCTTTAGGTTATTTAAAAAATAACCATTTTCTAAGATTGACCAATGTATTAGAACAGACAGCCCAGAAATAGACCCACTCATATACAGTCAGCTGATTTATGACATGGTAACACTGCAGTGCAGTGAAGAAAGGATGATCTTTTTAATAAATGCTGCTAGAGATCCATATGGGAAAAAATTTATTTTGACCCTCTTCTCACATCATAAACAAAAATCAATTATAGCCAAATTAGAGTTCTAAGTGCAAAAGGTAAAACAAACTTTTAAAGAAAAAACACAGGAGACATCTTCATGATCTTGGCAAAGATATCTTCAACAGGATGTAGAAAGTTAACACCACAAAAGAAAATAACTGACAAACTACTGTATATAAAAATTAAGAAATTGTTTTATCAAAAGACACCTTTAAGAGAGTGAAAACACAACTTGTAAAGTAGAAAAAGATATTTGCAATATATGTATATATATCCAATAAAGAACTTCTATTCAGATTATGTAATGAATTCATGAAGATCAGTAAGAAAAAGACAATCCCACAGAATATAGGCAAAATATTTGGACATTTCCAAAAAGAGCATATTCAAATATCAGATAAACACCGTGAAAGATGTCCAGCTTCATCAACCATTGGGGAAGACATCTCTACCCACCAACCAAAACGGCTAAAATTAAAAGGCTGATAATATCAAAAACTAGTAAGGATGTGAAGCAACCAGAACTCTCAGACATTTCTGGTGAGACTATAATTTGGTAAACCACTTTGGAAACCTGTTTGGCAGTATCTCCTAAGGTTGAACAGAGGCAGACCCTAATACCCAGCAATTCCAGTTTTAAGTATAACCTATCAGAATGTGTACATATGTTCACTAAAATACATGCAGAAGAACAATGACTACTGTAGTACATAAATCTGGAACCACCTAAATGCCTAAACAAAATTAATTTTGATATGCTTACAGAATGGAATATTAACTATTATACAGCAATGAGAAAGAAACATCTACAATTTAAAAAGATGGATTTCAAAAATATTTAGCAAAAAAAGTCAGACACATGAGCTGGCCGGTTAGCTCAGTTGGATAGAGCATGGTGTTATAACACCAACGTCAAGGGTTTGGAACCCCACACCGACCAGCTGCCAAAGGGGGGAAAAAAAGACACAAAATAATACATATTATATGGTTTCATTTATATAAAGCACAAAAACAGGCAAAGCTCATTTATGCTATTAGGAGTCAATGAAAATCTAAGCTAAAATGCATGACTGGGACAGTTATTAAAACAATCTCTACTTCAAGGACTTTGTAAGTTTCACCTTTTCATCCCCTTGCTCAGGTACATGAGCAAACTTGCATTGTGATCGCTCACAGCCACGTAACGTATTAAAATGAAATTTGCAGTATCTATAGGGTATCATCAACCCTAGGGGCTTCTGGAACACATAGAAAAATAGAAAAAATCCCTTTGTTAACTGCAAAATACTTAATATAATCTATTGAGAAAGCATTCAAAGCAACAGAAATATTATATACCCCAAACAGTATCAAGATAAACTGCTTGCTAATTTGATAAGAAAAAAGTCTCTAAATAATTTATTAAAAATAATGAAAAAAATCAATTTAGAGTGATTTGTCTTTGAATTTTCTCTATTTCTGTTAGCATAAAATATTCCATCAAGATTATTACTATTTTACTTTTATTTTTGAAGACTTTATTTTTTGGAGCAGTTTTAGGTTCACAGCAAAATTGAGAGGAAGGTACAGAGGTATCTTACGGATTCCTTGCCCTTACACTTTACAAAAGCTTATACATTCCCTCCTCCTTTTCACGCACCTGCCCCCACTTTTATAAAAAAGTTAATTCTATTATAATATGCATCATATTTCAGGTGAATCTGTTAGAGCCAAAATTTTCCTTAGCTTTTCTGATAAACAGCAAAGGCAAATGATATCAAGTTAAAGCTTTTTATGACAAACTTTCCCCATAAACTGCTTTATATTATCAGCTTTCTCTTTCATCACAGAAAACTATTCATCCTGTATTTTCTGTTTTGGATGTTTCCCCCTTCTGCTTTCAACCTCTTATGTTATTTGTGAATATCCCGTGAGTCACTATTTATATTCCGCCTCTTATTACCAACCTCCATTCAAAATCCACACAATGTCTGAAACTGCTTAAAAAAGTAATGATAGTCAGGAAAACACAACCAGAGAGGTCTAGAGTATAGGTTTTATAAGTTTATTTTTTAAAAAAAGTGGTTAACTTACCCCTGCATTTTTTTCCCTTTTAAATATTTCACAAGTTTCAGGATTCTGCAGCTTTAGGACAGAATGTTTTCCCAGAAATTTGAAATCTAGAAATGATTTAGAATGACATTACACACCAGTATGTTACAACTTATTCCCTTCATAACAATGAAATAGATGACTAACACTATTCACTTTAAAGTTTCACTTAGGAATATTCATGTTCCATTAACAGACTGTGCTGCCATGTGTGTTACTATGATTTACTTCTTAGGTACCCTTAAGTATTTCTAGACTTGAATTTAAAATTTTAAACTCACTATAAGCTGCAGATAACTTTCTTAAAAGCCTAATATAGCAGCATTGAGCACTGCATCCAAATGATATGTTTCTTAAGTTAAAAAGACAGATTCTATAGTGTACACAATAAACCTTTCTAGGGGAAGAAAACTCCTGACAAACCCAGGTGCTACAGACTGAAGTGTGTCCTCCCTCCAATTCATATGGTGAAGCCTTAACCCCCGGTATGACTGTATTTGGAGATAGGGCCTTTACAGAAGTAATTAAGGCTCCTGACAAACCCAGGTGCTACAGACTGAAGTGTGTCCTCCCTCCAATTCATATGTTGAAGCCTTAACCCCCGGTATGACTGTATTTGGAGATAGGGCCTTTACAGAAGTAATTAAGGTTAAATGAAGTCATAGCCCTGATTAGATAGGATTAGTGTCCTTATAAGAATAGACACCAAAGAGCTCATATTCTTTCTCTCTTTGCACATACCAAGGAAAGGCTATGTGAGGTTTTAGCAAGAAGGTGGTCATCTGCAAGCCACAAAGAGGGCCCTCACCAGAAAATGAACCCTGTAAGAACCTTGATCTTGGACTTTTAGCCTCCAGAAATGTGCAAAATAATTTCTGATGTTTAAGCCACCCAGTCTGTGGTATTTTGTTATGGAGGCCCATGCTGACTAATATAGCAGGCATCATATCCCTTACTGTTGATCTTTTAAAATGAGAACTAGAGCATTTAAAAATGTTCTTTTCTAAAGATAAAATAACAAATAAAAATAAAAGCATTTTTTATTTTAAATCATTTATTTTTTACCTTGGCAGTATCCAGATACAATGTGGAACAAGCTGAAGTTTTGCTGCATAGCTTTGTAGTTATTTGCATTATGAAAACTGTAAAGCTTTTTAAGATAAAACACATGACCACTGTGGGCTTACTGCTATAGTACATACCACGAGGCAGCACGAAGTCAGTATTGGAAAGGTACAAGTTAGATGTGTGCTACACAAAGTGATTTTATAGTCTTTAACCTCATTCTTCAACGTAGCTTCTTTTGTTCAAAGCATTATGAACTCTCAAAAAAATGACATAAAATCTAAACTACATATGCAAATATACTCAATTAAAACATGCATGTTTTAGGTTTAACCTATAATTCACCTGTACTATCATTATCACATAAATATAGATATTTTGAAAATTGTTCCATCAAAAGTATTTAGGAAAGGAACACAAACCTAATTTTAACCTTCTATGCTTGTTTCAATTATACTTTTTTTTTTAACTTTTTTGTTTTTGGTGGAAAAATCTCCTACATAGTTTCTATATTACCAGAAGCCAACAAGATTTTATTAAGAAAACAAATAGTACCATTCATCCAAGGCTTCAGTATTGTGTCTTCCTGATGACCACTTAGATTCAAAGGGGGCACTAATAAGCACATAGGTTTTGGGACCAGTGCTGGTAACTGATGTCCACCAACCATAATCTCTGAATTTCTAGAATCTTTGCTGTGAGTAGAAAAATCAAAATCAGAATTTAAATTTATTTTCAAAACATTAAAGTAATGAGAATCAAATAAGTAGAAATACAACCTAATGCCATGAACATGTTATATACTACATGATTCTTCAATGTCTTCAATAGGTTGTTCCTACCTTCTTAACTAGAAAACCAATAAATGTTAATTGGGTGGGGTTGGGGTAGGGGTAGGAATGGGGTGGTTTGTTTAAAAAAACTAGATCAAAATATTTTTGATCATGCCAGAAAAAAGGTCTGAGGAGAACCAGAAAAGGTCGTCCAATTGTTCTATTCTGTAATGAAATAAATTAATTATAAATTATTATTCAGAACAAATATATAAAATAAATCTATATATGTCTTTGAGAGCTTCCATGGTTGCTGATTTAAATAGCTTTAAGTTTACTCTAATGTGTGAGATCCTATATAACCAATTTTATAAAAATTTAATCTGGAGGTTACTTACATAGAAAAACACGTAACTTAAGCAAGGGGGAGAGAGGGAAGTACAGTACTTCATAGCTGACTTGTAGACACAAATGACCGTACTTTTTAGAAGAAAAACTTACACCAACACTCATATACTATATAAACTTTGACCTAAAAAATAATTCTAATAAGCTTATTTAACTGGGATTTCCTCAGCCAAAGGAGAGTAAAAATAGTAAGAAGAGGGGCCCATACTTGTAACAGTTGAAACTTAGTAGCACTGATGGAATTAAAAAATTTCACACAAAATAAAGATATTCACTTTTCTCCCAACTTGGGATATCATTGATATGTGTAATCACCATATCCCCTTCCCCCCCAATAAAACAAAACAAAAGCAGTAACATAAAACAAAGGAATAGGAATTATGGAATTTTACAGATGGAAGAGATATTTAGAAAATTCTTTTGTTTTTGATTGGATGACTCAAGCCCAGGGTGATGTAGTGACTTGCTCAATGTCACCCTGCTGATCACTCTGGTAGAGCCAACTTGCTGATAAACCTTTGGAGATTGTAATGACACTATTTTAGTTTGTAAGCAAAATGCTTTCAATAGGGAAATAAAAAAAGTTAATCTTGTTACTTTTCCTTTTTCTTTAAGATCTCCAAATGGTCATGAACCATATTGGACTTCTATGTCAATCTAATTCTTGCCTAGCCTTTCTCTTAAAACAGTTGTTCTCAAACTTGAGCATGCATCAGGATCAGATGGTGGTTTTGTTGAACACAGATCGATGGACCCCATCCCCAGAGTTTCTGATTCCGTAGGTCTGCTGTGGGACCCAATAATTTCTATTTCTGTCAAGTTCCCATGTGATGTTGCTGCTCCAAGTATCACACTTTGAAAACTACTGTCTTAACATAAAAGCACTTGAACATACTCATCACCTGGCCTTAACTCAACAGCAAAATGAGGGGGAAGGATGGATCAGATAATCTCTAAGTTGTCCTCCAACTCTAAAATTTGGTAGTTTTATATGTTCTAGTGATTGTACTACTATAACTCTCAGTACTAATTACTGTATCCATGTAAGATACTTGCAAACTGCAATGTTCATCTGATTTCAGCCATTCTTACCTTCATACAAGTCACACAACACATCCTTTTTACATTTTATCACTACCTATCTTTTCTCAAAAAATATTTTAAGTCTTAAAAGAATTAGTGACCAGCTTTAAGGTAACTTACAATATCCCTTACGCCTGGGTACATCTTGCACATTAAATCATACCCATGTATGGCTTATGGCATAGTAGTCCAAGCATATATGGCAGAGAATGAAAAACACACTCAAGATTCAAATTAGGGCCGGCCCAGGGGCGCACTGCTACAGTGCACCGCTTGGGAGCGCGGCGGCACTCCCGCCGAGGGTTCGGATCCCACATACAGACTGGCCGCTCACTGGCTGAGCGAGGTGCGGGCGCAACACCGAGGGTTGCAATCCGTTGCCGGTCACGAAAAAAGACAAAAAGGAAAAAAAAAAAGATTCAAATTAGATGAGTGACTATTTTGAAGTTATTTAATTAAAAATTATGTTACATACCTTTTGCAAACTTCATAGATATTTTCTTTTTCCTCGTTAGTAGTTTCCTTGTCTGAAAATCTACACTGTAAGAGATTATGATTAAATACGTACAGGTGAATTTCTCTGTATTACATAATAAGCTATGAGGATTACTGGGTTTATGAGGATGTATCAGATGTTAATTAAGCAACTAGCTTATGGCCAACGCTGAAAACAATTCTATTCTACATAATTTAAAATGCTGAATATTGACTTAAAAATTTCCACCGCTGCTTCAGGAAAAATTAACATTAATCAATATAGTTTCCATCTTTTGATATCACCTTTAATTATACAAGTCACTTTCAATTTATTATGAACAATTATAGTTGCTGTTTCTTTTAATTCAGCAGAAAAGTGCTTTGAATGATTTATATATTTAGGTGGTATTTATGAACATAAATAAACATTTTTTTCATTGAAATATCTAAACACATTTTAAACATAGCTAGCTATACTTAAAACACTTCACAAGTAGCTTGCTGGGAATTGTGATTTTCTAATTATAAGAACATTATACATGCTCAAATATAAATTTTCAAAAGAACAGGCATCAAGAAAATAAACCCCCAAATCACCCCTCACTGCAGTATTCAGAGACAACCACCTAATATCTTAGTTTATATCTTTCTAGTCTTTTTGAAAGTACATAATCAAATTTTATACTAATGTTATCAAACTGTCTATACTATTAGAACTCTTGGAAAGAAAACTACAAAATTCAACTGGGAAATGTGAAACATTAACAAATGGAAAGACATAACATGTTTCTTGATGAGAATTTTAAAGGTAAAGATGTTAATTCTCCCCAAATTAATTTCCACATTTTAAAAACTACTTTACAATACGAGTTTAAAGCATTCTTAGAGGAATATATGAGAGAAGAACTAAAAAATATTTTGGATTTATAATACATCTTAGTATCTTTTAAAGCAAGCCTTACTATTTTTATTTTTCAAATAATTGACAATATTCTATTGGTGCAAGAACTAAGCAATCAATGAAACAAAAGAGAAGTAAAGGAATAGTTCTACACATAAAAATTGGAAAACATTAAAGATGGCATTTGAAATTTGTGAGAAAATGGTTCAATAAATGGTAGAATGACTGGTTAGTTAACTGGATAGAAAATAACTGTGGTCCCAACTCACCATATACTGAACTACCTTTTAGGGTCATTAAAGATTTAAATATAAAAAGTAAATTCTGAAAGTAGCAAAATAAAGAAGTAGCAAAATAAATAAAATACATAAATGGGTATTTCCATAATTTTGAGTGCAGGGAAAGCCTAAGGATGACATCAAAAGCAGAAACCATGAAATATAATATCATTAGGTTTAAATCTATTTAAAGATTTTACCACTAGCCACTGGAGTGCATTGACACAAGGAGAGTCATCAGCAGAGACCAAAGAAAAGAAGAGGATCTCTCTCTCCACAAAGCTCACTCCAGAGTGACAGAAGAAGCATCTGCTCTACGAGAATATTGGGGGACATGAACACACCTCTCAGCATTGGACAGATCATCTAGGCAACAAATCAACAGAGTAACCATTACTCTTTCAGAAGGAGAGAAGAAATCTAGGGTTATCAGTGGTGGGAGGGGGCAGGAGGAAGGGGGTAGGGAGAGATCGGACAAGGGGCATAAAGAATAAGTACAATTTGTAACAATATATATACTAGTAATATTGATTTGATCAACATATGTCAACATTGAACCCCCAAAATATGTATAATCAATTATGATTCAATAAAAATTTTTTAAAAAAGATTTTAAATGTTTTCATATGTTAAGAGAATAAAAAGTACACAAAAGCCATCTGCCAAATAAAGAAAAAAAAGGTTATATTGTTTCTAATTCTTTCTCCCAAGATAAATTTTAGTTTGATAAAAAAATTTAAACATAACACCACCAAAAAACACTAAAAGAAAATATGGGAGAACATTTTTCATCTTGAAATGGGGAAGGATTTCTCTAAATATGACTCGTAACTCAAATATAAAAGAAAACTGATATATTTGACCAAGTAAAAATAAAAGGCTTCTGAAAAGTGAAAAGCTCGAAACCAAGTCAAAACAAATAAACAGGAAAAAGTATGGCAGCATACAACAGAGAACAAATATGTTTAATATATGAAGAGTCCCTACAAATAAAAACAATCAAAATCCCAGAAGAAAAATGGTAAAAGGCTATGAACAATAAACAGAAGTTTACAGAAAAAAATGTATTGGTGAAAGATGCTTAACCAGACTCATAAGAGAAATGCAAATTGAAACTAAAAGTCATTTTGTAAAAATAAGCAGATGGACTAAAATTAAAAATTTAATAACTTGATGAGTGTGTGGGGAGAAAATGACACTCACACAATGTTGTTGGAATTATAAATCAAAGCAATCTCTATGTAGAGCAATTTGACAATTCCACTTCTAGGAATTAATCAAAAAATGCTTGCATATATGCAAAATGCCTTATGCTCAAAGATGAATGCAGCAGCAATATTTAAATAGCAAAACAACGGAAACAGATTAAGTGACCATCAATAGTGGGACTTGTTAAATAGAGTAGATCCATACAGTAGATAACTATATAACTACAAAAACAAGGCATCCCTTCCTGGTTGTCTGAGGATCGATCACCATCGTGAACAGCACAGTAACTATCTGGACCAGGAAGTTCATGACCAATCAACTATTTCAGAGGAAACAAGTAGTCATAGATATTCTTCACCACGGGAAGGCAACTGTACCTAACACAGAAATTTGGGAAAAACTAGCCTAAATGTACAAGACTACATCAAATGTCATCTTTGAATATGGATTCAGAACCTATTTTCATGGTGGCAAGACAACTGGCTTTCACATGATTTACAATTCCTTGGATTGTGTGCAGAAAAATGAACCCAAACATAGACTGGCAAGACATGGCCTGTATAAGAAAAAGACCTCAGAAAACAGCAAAAGGAATGCAAGATCAGAATGAAGAACGTCAGGGGACTGCAATGACCAATGCTGGTGCTGGCAAAAAGTGAGCTGGAGATTTGATAACAGCAGAAGGAGTGCTGGCAAAAAGTGAGCTACAGGGCCGGCCCGTGGCTCACTCGGGAGAGTGTGGTGCTGATAACACCAAGGCCACGGGTTTGGATCCTATATAGGGATGGCCGGTTCGCTCACTGGCTGAGCATGGTGCTGACAACACCAAGCCAAGGATTAAGATCCCCTTACTGGTCATCTTTAAAAAAAAAAAAAAAAAAAAGTGAGCTAGAGATTGAATAAAAGAAAGGGTAAAGATGCTGCAATGACTTGTATCTGTGGTGATTATGTAGATTTTCCTGAAAGCGTTAATAAACACTAAACTTTTAAAAGAATAAAAATAAAAAATAAAAACAAGGCATCATTACATATATTCAAAGGAAAAAAGTCTCCATGTTGTTTAAAAAAGGAAGATAAAGAATGGTATGCTACCATTTATATAAAAGACGAAAGAATACACAATAGGTCCACTGTGAGAAATGGAAGAGTATCTCCTACTGGATTAACCTTTCCGCAGATAACTATAAACCCTGGACAAAATATTTTAAAACATCTACCTGAAAACCCTGGAGAGATATGAAAAGTAGGCAGAACCTAGAGGGATGTTTATACTCAGCAAGAGGGAATGGCACTGGATAACTGATGGAGTTTGGATGTGCTGTCCCCACCAAAACTCATGTGGAAATCTGATCCCTAATGTGGCAGTGCTGGAAGCTGATTGAGTCACGGGGGCAGATCCCTCATGAATGGATTAACACTCTCCCTGAGGGGTCGGGGTCATGAGTGAGTTCTCGCTGTATTAGTTCCCGCAAAAGCTGGTTGCTTAAAAGACCCTGGCAACTCCTCTCTCTCTCTCTTGCTTCCTCTAGCCATGTAATCTGCTTGTACCTGTCAGCTGCCTGCTGCTTTCCACCATGAGTAGAAGCAGCCTGAGGCCCACGCCAGACGCAGCTGTCCCAGAATTGTAAGCCAAATAAACCTCTGTTCTTTATAAATTACCCAGTTTCTGGTATTTTGTTACAAGCAACAAAAACAGACTAATACAATAATTGTCCTGCTTTTATGGCTTTATCCCCAAAGGTTGGCCCTAGTTTGAACCACTTGAGGAGGCCAAAAATTTGCCCTACTGACATGAAGAACCAGAAGAAAGTCTGGGGCAAAGTCAGAAACTGGAAAGTGAGGCTGGGAATCCTGGAAAGGAGAGAGCCTAAGTGGTGAAGCCCCCAAATCCGCTTATAAACTTGGCCTAAATCTCCAGCTGATCCCTGAACTATTGCTACATAAGGCAGACGCCAAACAGCCCAGCTAAGGCTAAAAGAACTGAACAAAGATTTCAACTGTGTTCTGCCCAGGGGAGTACTCTGGAGGCTGAGTTCACCCAGGTTTAAATCTAAGCATGTGACTACCATGTTGCTCAACAATTACAGCTCATTAATCTCAGAGAAATGAAAACATAGGTATGTACAAAAACCTATACATAAATATTTATAGATATCAGCTTTATTTTTAACAGCCCCAAACTGGAAACAACCCAAATGTCCTTCAATGAGTGAATAGCTAAACCAACTGTGGTGCTCCCATACCATAGAGTATTACTAAGAAGTAAAAATGAACTAACTATTGATACACACAACACAACCTAGATGAATATCCAGAGGATTATGCTGGGAGGAAAAAAACCAACCTGAAGAGGTTACATACTGTATAATTCCATTTATATAACACTCTTGAAATTACAGAAAAATGGAGAACACATTAGTGGTTGCCAAGGATTAAGGAGGGTTTGGGGGGAGCAGGAGGGAAGGAAGTAGGTGTGACTGTAAAAGGGAAACATGAGGAATCTTTGTGGTGAAGGAAATGTTCTGTATCTTGGCTGCATTAATGCCAATATTCTGGTTGTGATATTGTACAACATTTTTGCAATACATTTCCTTTGGGAGAAACTAGGTGGAGGGTTCACAAGATTTCTATGTATAAGGAATCTTTGTGGTGAAGGAAATGTTCTGTATCTTGGCTGCATTAATGCCAATATTCTGGTTGTGATATTGTACAAGATTTTTGCAATACATTTCCTTTGGGAGAAACTAGGTGGAGGGTTCACAAGATTTCTATGTATTCTTTCTTACAACTACATGTGAATCTATAGTTATCTGAAAAAAAAAAAAGTGGGATGCTGCTAAAGCAGTACTCACAAACAAATTTATAGCATTCAATGTCTCTACTAGAAAATAATAAATGTTTCAAATCAATAACCACAGCTGCAACTTTAAGAAACTAAACAAAGAGCAAATTAAACCCAAAGCAAGCAGAAGAAAGGAAAAATACAAATCATAGTAGAAATCAGTGAGACAGAAAACAAAAAAGCAATGGAGAAAAATAAAACCAAAAGCTGGTTCATTTAGAATTATACACATAATTAATATACTTTAGCCAACCTCCTATGAATCTACATTTGTTACAAAATGCTAAAATTACAGAGATGAAAAACAGATTAGTGGTTGCTAAGGTTAGGGATGTTGGTGGGGGAGGGAGATGTGACAATCAAGAGGTAGCATAAGGGAAATCTTTGTGGTGATGCACATCTGATAAAAATACAAAGAATTACACAAACACACTGTGTCAATATCAAAGACCTGCTTCTGATACTGTACTTTAAGATGTAATCACAGAGGAAAGCTAGGTGAAGGGTACATGGATCCTCTCTGTACTACCTTTGCAACTTTCTGTGAATCTATATTTCAAAATAAAACGTTAAAAAAATATACACTAGCATTTTAACTATCTGTGGCTCAAAAGTAGAATCATCAAGCAATTACTACCATGGTAAACCTAAAAATTGTCACGTATAGATTCTGGGTACAACTGATATAGTGAAGAAAAGAAACAAGGTATCTGGAAAAAGATTCCATACATACAGTGAGAAATAAAAGGTCACTAAAAAAGTATTTCTAAAAATTCACAGACAGCCATACATAAGAGCAGAAAAGAAGTAGGTCAGGCATATGCCCTGTAAGTCAACCTATTTATCTCCTAAAGTTTCTAAAGTATAAGGTAAGAGAGAGATGGATAAAAGTTTGTTAATTCCCAAATTTTGGGGCCAGATATTGCAAAAGCAAATATTGACTGGGTGAGGTATTTTCTAAAGAGTTGGTACTTTGAAGCTCACCATGGTATTAGAAGAATAAATATATTATCCCCATTCCTTCAAACAAAACAAAGAAATCTTACCATACTAGGAAGCAGCTATAGGATTTTGTCAATTATTTTTAAAAGGACTTAATTTAAAAACAGGTCTACATCTTTAAAATATTTAGAGTGTTAAGAACTCAAAAACAGGTCTACATCTTTAAAATATTTAGAGTGTTAAGAACTCAGTGAATTCTGGCAAACACTTCCTAAATTCTATCACTGCAGGAGTAAACAGATTAAGTCTTCTCAAATTTAAGTAGAATAGAGTACAACCTGTTTCTTCTATTTTATAAAACTTTAGAGCAAGAATCAGCAAGGTATGGCCTGCAAGGGGCCTGTTTTTTTGTAAATAAAGTCTTACTTGAACACAGCAATCCCTTATTTGTTTACATATTATCTATAGCTTCTTTTGTGATACAATGGCAGAGTTAAGTAGTTGCAACAGCAACCGTATGGCAAACAAGGCCATACAGATATTTACTATCTGGGCTCATTAAAGAAAAAGTTTGCTGACTCCTGTTGTAGAATCCAGGGACTCTGCTGTGTGACCTTGAACAAGATACTGAGTCTCAGTCTGTGTCCTCACCTGTAAAAGAAAATAACAGTACATACTTCATGTACAGTGAAGGATTATCTCAGCAAGCCTGGGTTATCCATACCCTTCATGTTAAAGGTTTGGGATCAAGAGTCACCTCCTGATCCTGGGAGGTAACTTCTAAGCACCTGGAACATCCTTCTTGATAAGTGTGTCTTTGTTTACCTGAGCGTCAGGGGCCATGCCACATAGTCTGGGCTAGCAATGTGATTTATGGTGGGGACCTTGGGCCATGTGGTATCAGCTTGACCTCCGGAAGGACTAGAGACTGAGTGACTAAGTTCTGCTACGCAAGCAGTCAGCCATGCTTTTGTGACTGACCTCAATAAAAACTCTGAATACCAGGGCTCGGGGGAATATCCCTGGCTGGCAATACTTCATGTAGTTTGCCACACACTGTTTCTGGGAGAAGCAAGCACTGTCTCCATGACTCCACTGGGAGAGGACAATTGGAAGCTTGTGCCTACTGTCTCTGGGACTCTGCCCTTTGTGCCCCTTTGCTGACTTTAATCTGTATTCTTTCACTGTAATAACCTGTAACCATGAGTATAACAGCTTTGGGGACTTCTGTTTCTTCTTCTAGCAAATCACTGAACCTGAGAGTGGTCTTGAGGACACCCAAACAGCACATTTTATTGCAGGGATAAAACGTGATAACCTGTGCTAGATGTTTAGCAATGGCTGGCTGGCTGGTATATAATAAAGGCTCAATACATGCTGTCTGTTATTATCATCAAATCATTAAGCAAGTACTTTGTGAGATCCTTATTCTTGTTACAGGACACTTCTAGCACTTAAAAGACTATTTTCAATTGAGGTTCACATTCACTATTCATTTAACAATTACTTGTGTTATTACTCGGTATCAGCCACTGCTCTAGGTGCTACAGATTCAGTAGTAAACAAAATGGACAAAAATCTTTGCCTTGACGGAATTTCATTCTGGCAGAAGGAGACAGATAAAAATAAGTAAATGTATAGTACATTAGATCATGATAAGTGCAAGAATGGAAGACAGGAATTGTTATGAGAAAAGAGAACATTGAAATTTTAGGTTAGATGGCCAGGGAAGTTCTCCCTGAGTCCATGGAGTACGAGTAAAGACCTGAAGGAAATAAGAGAACCAGCTATACCACTTTCTAGGGTTAAGAACATTCCAGGCAGATAAAATGGCAAGGGCAAAGTTCCTGAAGTGGGAGAAAGCCTGGTATGTTCCAAGAAGAGCAAGGAGGTTATAGTAGTGAGAGCTAAATGGAAAAGGAGAGTACTGGAAGAGATCAGAGAGGTAACATGGTGGGGAAGGGATACAGTAGACTGACAAAGGGCCTTGTGGGTCATAGGAAGAACTTTGTCTTTGACTCTGAAAGACATTAGAAGCCACTGGAGAGTTTAAAGCTGAAGAATACATGATCTAACTTATGCTGTGTTGAGAATAAACTACGCAAGGGCAAGATTAGAAGCAGGAGATCTGTTAAGAGGTACTGCAATAATTCAGGCAAGAGATGATACTAGCCTGGGCCTGCATAGTGTTGAAGAGGGCAATGAAAAGTGGACAGTTTCTAGACATCATCTAAAGGTAAAGCCAGCAGGATTTCCTTGCAATCTGGATATGGAATGAGAGAAAAAGTAAGAAAATCCAAGGTTTTACATCTGGCAATTATAAAGAATGAAGTTGCCATAAGCAGGTTACAGGAAAAGCTGGTTTCTGGTAGGGTAGAGGATGTATAGCAGAAGTTGTTTTGAATGTGTTAAGTTTAAGAGCCCTAACTGGATAGATATCCAAGTGGAAAAAGCAAGCATGCAACCAGACATAAAGGTCTGTAATTCAAAGAAGATTGGGCTGGAGATATAAATTTAAGAGTCTTTGCACATAGACGGATGGCATTTAAGGAAATGAGATTGGAAGAGACCATCTAGGGAGCAAAAAAAGAGAACAAATTCATGACTGGGTTCTGAGTACTCCAACCTGCAGAGGTAGGGAGATCAGGAGAAACCAGCAAAACTAATTGGCAAGTTGCAGACAGAAAGGTAGAAAGTAAACCAAGCAAGTATGTTTTCACCAACTAAAAAAAGTGTTTCAAGGAAAGAGTGGTCAACTGTGTCAAATATTAGTGGTACATTAAGATTAAGATTAATATATGTCCACTGGATTCAGAGATGAGGATGTCATTGGAGAGTTTAAGAAGGGTAGGTTTGGTGAAGGTGTAAAGGTGAATACCTTTGGAAAGTTCTTTTTCAAGAGAACTGGAGAGAAACTGGAGATAGTAGGTTTAGATAAGCCCTTTGAGAGACAGGATGACAGCTGAAAGGGCAAAGGGAACGTTAAAGGGTTTTTTTGTTTTATTTGAAGATGGGAAAAAAGCATGTTTATAAGCTAATGAAAATGATTCAATAATAAAGGAAGAATTGTAGTACTGAATTTAGAAGTAGTATTGTAAGACAGAGAAGAGATGGAATCCAGCACTGGCTAGTGAATCTACTGTAACTAAAGAGCAGCTAGAGTTCTGGGAGCAGGTGTTCTAATGCATTGCTGGGAGCTTATAACATTCTTTTCCAATTACTTCAAAGTATGAAATAGCTGCCCAGGAGTCAAATTATGCAAAATGTGAGACAATCATACACATTATCCGGCAGAAAAGTGGAACAAAAAACTTGATACCAAAACTTTCCCCTATATCATACACCAGTAGTATGTCCCAGCATTAAGTTAGGTTTAGCTCCAATTCCTATGCCTTCTACATCTGTGCTTGAATAACTGATGCTTCTGTTCATGGCCCTCAGGTACTACAATATTAGAAAATTTCAAGGAAGATCAAATGATACTCAATACTTTGTGTTTAATGAGGCAGGAAAATATGTAACAAACTTACAAAGGTTTGTGATGAACTTCAGGATACTAAAAAGCTAAATATGTAATTAATTAGTAAATGCCATTTTCCTAGAAACCCTGCTTATACTGTGCTTGATACAAAGCATCAAGGGATATATCTCATGGCCAGAGTGATGTGATTCTTTCACTCAATAAAAAGGAGATACACTTGTCATGTGACTGCAGTGTTAAGATGAATTTCTACGTTACCACTATTTAAGACCAAGAAATAAGGAAATGTAAAAGATTCCCTAGTACCTTTTCATCCAAGTCTGAAGCTTTCATTTGTTCACTGACGTCTCCCCGCTTTTCATTTTCAGAGGTCTCATTAGTAACTTCTCCTAAGAAAATGTTTGTACCTTTGGAATCATGTTTTATTTCATTTGCTGAAAGAAATAATATTCAACTATAGAAACTTTAAGTGACAAAATAACCAAGTTATTCAAAGACTATTCTAAAAAATGACTCGGAATTCAGGGTTTTTTTTAAGGTCTAATGTAATAAATATGATATAGAGTTTTCAGTAAATTATATGACAATTCCTCCCTCTCTATCGAAATAACTCCATTATATATGGTATAAAAAGAACTGATAGTATGATATTTAAGAATCTTTCTTTAAATATATTTTTTAAACTTGAAAATCAAGGTAAAATTATGTTTCATATTAATTTATGGTCTGTGAAGTAAAGATTCAGGTATTTAAACTTATAATTAGCTGCTAATTATGTAAAACTTTTAAATGATGGTTTAAAATGTGACAAAACTTAAATACATATTTTAATTTCAAAGTAAGACTACAAAAATTGCTGAGGTCAACTACCTATCTTTTGTAGATAAACCCTAACAAAGTTATTTATTAAATAATCAAATGGAAAATGTCTCAAAATCGGATTTGCCAACCAGTCAACTGCAACTGAGAAAAACTGACAAACTGTAAAAATTTATGGTTAACAGACTATAAAATGAAAAGCTTCCTATTCTTCTAATGAATTCATTTTGACTAAGCTTTAATGGAGATATTAAAAAAATACTTTAATGCTACATATTCTGAAAATGTCAAATCTTACCTGCTGACAAGGAAGCATAGACCTCTGACGTCATTAATCCAGGGTCCACTACAGGAAGTTCTCTATTATAAAGCAAACAGAGCTTAACCATTATAACAGATTCTAAGCAGAACTACCTACTTCTCTAAAGATTATACAATGCTTTAGCAGCTGGTAAACATAAGATCAAGCCCTGCAGGACAGAATACTATATTGGGACTCAATCCAGTGCATCTGCACAGTTTCCTCACTTGGCTCTTTAATCACATATGCCTCAATTGTTAGGGAGTGCTGCCACTCAAACTTTGTTACTCAGAGAGAACCTGATGAGATGTACCATACAATTAAATTTTAAAGTATTACACCAACACAAAATATTGGCTTACTTCTACTCTTTAGTATGTATATGTAAGTCTTACTGTCAGTGTGAAAGGAAGATGCTTGAGAGCAGTTTGAGTCTTCTTTTTGTAGTCTCTAAAGACAACTTACAGTCTAGAAGTTAAGGATATGGAGATCAGAGTTAGACCAACCTGGATTCAAATACTGTGTAAACTGTGGCAAAACTCTTTTTCTTTGAATGTAACCATATCTGTAAAATGAGAATACTATCTACCCACAAAGGTTATAGTGAGGATTAAATGAGATAAAATGTTCTTAGAGTCAATAGCATAGGCTCAACAAATGAAAATACATATATAGAAGCCATGCAAATACAAATGGTTAAACATTATTCCATTTGTGAAACAGACAAAAATTTAAAACACATGAAAATACACAGAATATAATAAACACCCAAAATCCCGCCATTTATTCATTTAATAAATGGATTTTTATTAAGTATATCCTACAGTTCTACAACTACTCACTGGTTCAGGATTACCTCTCAGCGAAGAAAGAGGAAAACTAAACAAAACATTTTGTATGCACCATTCTTTGTAGTCTTTGGAAAACATTAAGTATTTGTTTCCCAACATAAACCCTAGAAACCATCAGAAGTATATAGTCTAAAGGATGGGGAAATAATACAAACACATGCAAATCTCTTTCCTGATATTCTGGATATCAGTCCACTAGGATATCTCCATTTCAGTATCTCAAAGGCCTCTCTAACTCACAATGTCTAAACTTGACCTGCCCCATCCTGCTCCTTTGCATTGGAGATGAATGATAATTCCCTTTTCTGAGATAAGGAGAGAAACCAGGTATCATCCTTAACTCCTCCCTCTGCCTCACCCCCATCTCATTAATTAATCTTTACTTCTTAAACCTCTTTCAAATCCACTCCCACTTCTTCTGAAGTCACCATGTCCTTTCGGTCTAATTATTACAATAGCTCCCTGCCAATTTATTCTCCACACCAGAGCTATAATGATTTTTTTTTTCCTTTTTGTCTTTTTCCGTGTCCGGCAACGGATCGCAACCCTCAGTGTCGCCCCCGTACCGGACCGGGACCAGCAACGGGATTGCAACCCTCGGTGTTGCCCCCGTGCCTCGCTCAGCCAGTGAGCGGGAACCGGTCTGTATGTGGGATCCGAACCCTCAGCGGGAGCGCCGCCGCGCTTCCCAAGCGGCGCACTATAGCAGTGCGCCACCGGGCCGGCCCGATTTTTAAAATGTGAATCTAATCAAATTCTCTCTCTACTTAAAAGTCCTTCAGTGAATGTGTATGTGCCTAGAATAAGATTCAAACTCACCATAAATTATAGTTTGCCTAGGATGGTCTCTTTATCCTGTTGTCCTGGCATTAATTATTAATAGCTCCCCATTTCTCTCTCAAAAGTTTTGCAATTCAGAAGATAAAGTCTATGGTTATTGTTCTTTGAAAGCCCTTCATGACTGACCTTATGCACATTCTATAGCTTCATTTCTTGCCATCAGAACACTAAGCCATGGGATACTATTTGTTTCTCACTTTTCTTCACCTATTGGCTAATTCCTACTTATCCTTTAAATGCTCATCTTAAATGTCACTTTCACCAGAAAGCTTTTAATATCTTGCACTTTGATAAGGATTGAATTGTGTCCCCCAAGTTTTATGTATTAGAAGCTTGATCCCTACTGTCACTGTTGGGAGGGTGGGAAATCTTATTATCATAATTGAAAGGTGGGACTTGAAGAGGTGATTGGATAGTGAGGGCTATGCCTAGTGAGTGGACTAATCCATTCACTGAGCAATAAATTGAAAGATTAATAATGATCACCGGTGTGGTTCTGATGGCTCTAAAAGGCAGCAACTGAGAAGTTAGCTCTCTCTGCTCTGCCATTTTCTGCCATGTGAGACCCCTGTGTTGCTGTAAAGCCACCACCAAAGAAGACCCTCACCAGAGGTGTTCCCCAGACTTTGGACTTCCTAGCCTCCAAAACTGTAGGCAATAAACTTCATTTTCTTACAAATTATCCAGTTCCACCTATTTTGTTATAAGCAACAGAAATGGACTAATGCACAATTCTATCATATTTTACTGTACTTGCTTAATTATTTGCCTCCTTGGAAAGATAAAAAGCTGTGAGCACAAGACCCATATGTGTCTAGTTTCCTCTATACATGCAGCACCTAACATACTCCTGGCATGCAGTGCCAGACACTGAGGAGACCCAAATGAAGATGCCTCTTTCCTATCCAGGAACTCCCAATATAGGGTGAGGCTCACATACAAGCAGACATAATACATTGAGATATGTGCCAAGAGAACTATTGGCACAAATCCCTGGAATAACCTCTCAGATGTGATTTGATGGATAACGGAATAAAAAGAAAAGGACTTTCAGATAAACATATGCAAAAGAATTAATGTACATGGCACACTGTAGAGACAATTGTGAGCTGCCTGCTTCATTTATCTTTCATCAGCCTTTCACCCCACTTTCCTCCCCCTAACACCATAGTTGTCAAAGAGGGAATAAATGCAGATCCACTAAAGAGCTTTAAAAAGCCATGCTAAGCAATTTAGACTCTATTCTCAGGTGGCTGAAAGCCAGTGAAGTACTTTAAACAGTCACTGGCAAATCGATTTCTATTTCAGAATATCACTAATGAGGGAGTTTAGAAAGATTAACCAGGAGCTTATTACAATAATCCAGGAGAAAGATAAATAAGACAGCAGCAGTGAGAATCGAGGCTAAGAAACAGTCCTGAGAGATATTAAGGTAATAGCAAGAACAGGATTAAGTGCCTCAATAAACAGAAAATTGAGGGACGCTTCTATGGCTTCTAATTATCCTGAAAATTCCATTCATAAATAGGTACAGCAAGTATATTGGTTTAGTTTCAAAGTATCAAAATAGTACTTACAATATTGCTGGTATAACTTAACAGCTAACTTATGAGGAAGGTAAAATTGCACATGCTGCTCTTGTAAGAAGTAGTTTAATTTTGTTTTGAATTTCAGAGACACAAAGAAGTTAAATTCACCTAATTGAATAAAAACATAATAGAGTGAGCAAAATTGTGACCTACATAAATATTTTCCAGTTTTGCATCGGTGGAGTGGAAAGTTATAGTTCTGCACTGGTGGATTGGGAACAGGAAAAAAATGAAGGATAGTAGGAGGAAAGGAGAGAAAACAGAGACAGACTTGGGTGAGGCTACAGAAATACAGAGAAGCAAGAGAGAATATCTGAGCAAAAAGGAGAGGGGAATAAAAGATTTAAGTCAACTGTGAAGAACAACACAGATTACATCAAGCTTATCCTCCACCAGAACATTTTTCAAGTAAAACATATTCTGAGAATCCCAACTGGAAATTTTAAAAATGAAATAGGATAAAATACAAAATACAAGACTAAATCAATCATAGTAAAAAAAATATTGTTTGTATAAACCTATTATTTCACATATTTTTAAGTATGCACTGGATAGGGCCGGCCCGTGGCTCACGTGGGAGAGCCTGGTGCTGACAACACCAAGTCAAGGGTTAAGATCCCCTTACCAGTCATCTTTAAAAAAAAAAAAAAAAAAAAAAGTATGTACTGGATCATAATGTAAAACATATCTTTACTTGTGGGCAACTGACAAAAAGGTTTGAAAATAACTGCTTTAGAATAATTGCTAGCAGGAAAAGTTTGAAAACTATTGCTCAAGAAAAAATTCAGAATGTTATTGCCTTCTTTTGAGATACTACCTAGCTGACTGTGGTCAAAATCACTTATTTACACATTCATATGTTCTGTTTCTGGATAGTCCTGCCACAAATTTACTAGGGCAATTAATTATTCTGCATATAACAGTGGCCATAAACTGAGGAATATTGCAGTATTCAATTCACTGGGCCAGGGTTCCCTAGCCTGATGCCGTGCTGTGAGGTGCTAGGTTCCTGGTATTATAAATGATTACTTTATTAAGTACCACACTGTTTATTCCAGCAAAGACAAGAAACAATGGTTTATGTAGCCCAAAAGAGAAAAAAGTAAAAATGAGAATAATGTTTCTTCATACTACCCCAACTGCTACTTTAAGGAGGGGGAAGAGATGAGAAAGGAAAGGGATCAAAAGTAAAATAATATTGTATGGTAGTTTGTGGAGTAATTGAATTGTAGCAATGGAGAAAACCAAAATGCCACTCTTCCAGCATGCTGTTTTGGGAAGGCGGTACAGATTTTGAAGTACGTTACCAAGTTCGGATCTCAGCTCTGATAGTTACAAGCTGTGTGTTAATCACTTACATTATAAAGATAGGGTTAGGTGGGTTTTTTTGTTTACTTTTTTAAAAAGATGACTGGTAAGGGGATCTTAACCCTTGACTTGGTGTTGTCAGCACCACACTCTCCCAAGAGGTAACCAGCCATTCCTATATAGGGATACGAACCCATGGCCTTGGTGTTATCAGCACCACACTCTCCCCGGCTGGCCCATAGGGTGAGTTTTAACCTCAGAATTGTCCCACTAAATGAAATAATATAAGCTCAGGGTAGACACTAGATATCAGTTCTTATAGTTAAGTGTAAAAATTTGCACAACAGTTAGAACACATCAGATATTCAGTGAAAAGGGACATAGAGAAAAGTAAGCTTCTTGAAAGACAGGCAAGAAGTCTCAATATATAAGGAAGAGAAAGAACGACCTTTACTTTTGATGGAAACTTGT